CGCCATTTTGAAAAGGATAAAGTGGGTAGCTCATTAATATTCTATTTTGTGGCTATACAAGAAAATTGCGATCCACTATTGGAAATCCACTAAAAATGTGTGCCGAAACCTATACTCGCCCGGGCACAGGTGCCCCAGCGAGTAATAAATAAAATTTCGCCACAGAACAGAATCCAAAAATAAAAATTTCTTGTGTAAATCAAATATTAATAAAACTTCCTGCAAATGTAGATTTCAGAGAACGTGTGGTGCCCTACATTGTGATAAACTTCAATCTCGGCAAAAGACAATCTCGACTTGCAAAAAGGCTTTTAATTTTGTAAACAATCAGTAAATTATATGATAAATATTTCCTGCAAGATGTAAGGAAAGACATTTTGCCGGTCATTTCCCAGCACTGCAAACATGTGTGCTAGGGATTCAGTTTCTAACCTTGATCAAAGCCGATCCTTTCCTGGGTCCAAGTCCACATACAAACTGAATGAGACCCGAGGTATGAGGGAAGTCGAGCACTCGGTTAGGGTCCACTCCGACCTCGTTCACCACACTCACAAATACAGTACGTAGAGAACTCAGCAATTCTTCTTTTGGGATTAAATTCTGAAGAAAATTGTTCAAGTTAATAATCAAAAAGTCATTTCAGTTTAGGTTTCTTCCTGGACCTCTTGGTATTTTTCAGTATAAATAAAGTTAGTTTAGTTTAGGTTTCCTCCTGTAGTAACACTGAATCAATAAGAGATGATCCTTACTGGACCTCTAAGTAGAACACTTTAGAACTGATAGAGTTATCCAGTATAAATAAGTTAGTTTAGGTTTCCTCCTGTAGTAACACTGGATCAATAAGAGATTACCCTTACTGGACTTCTAGGAAGAACTCTTTAGAACTGATAGAGCTATCCAGCATAAATAAGTTAGTTTAGTTTAGGTTTCCTCATGTAGTAACGCTGGATCAATAAGAGATTATCCTTACTGGACCTGTAGGGAGAACAGTTTAGAACTGATAAAGCTATCCAGTATGAATAAAGTTAGTTTAGTTTAGGTTTCCTCCTTTAGTAACACTGGATCAATAAGAGATAATCCTTACTGGACCTCTAGGAAGAACAATTTAGAACTGATAGGGCTATCCAGTATAAATAAAGTTAGTTTAGTTTAGGTTTCTTCCTGTAGTAACACTGGATCAATAAGAGATGATCCTTACTGGACCTCTAAGAAGAACAGTTTAGAACTGATAGAGCTATCCAGTATAAATAAAGTTAGTTTAGTTTAGGTTTCCTCCTTTAGTAACACTGGATCAATAAGACGAAGATCCTTACTGGACCTCTAGGGAGAACAGTTTAAAAATGATAGAGCTCTTTGAGGATGACCCTCGCTGAACCTCTAGAAAGTGTTACCTGTCTTGGATGTAATCGCAAACACAACAACTCCTCCTCATCGACACACAGACCAGAAAACTCGGCCACTGGATCCTGGATGCGACGACCCACAGAGATTGCTCGCCTTAGGATGGCTGGGTATTCTCTGAACTCAGTCTAAAAAGATAATATATACAAATTATGGAAGGGTTTTGTTGATGGAAATTTTTGAGTGTGAATTTCTATACATTTATTTAGACCTAACCAGAGAAGCGGTTGCGAAAAATGCAACTCTAGGTCGCTCTGACAGGAATCAAATCTGCGGCCCGGCGATTCCAGTGCAGCGCTCTAATCAACTGAGCCACAGAGGTCAGTTGTCGAGCTCTAACCACAAGTTCATGTATATTTACTGGAGTGATGCCTGTGTAAGGTGTATGCGTAAGTGTCAGGATTGTGGGCCGGCATCTCACTCGATATAATCAATAGACAATTCCCATTATAGACTAATTTTAAAACTAGGCAAGGAGATGCAAATCACCACAGCTAGTGCGAAATGTTGTAAAACGCGGAACATATAGCCTTGCAAAGTTTGCAAATTTTGTATACTTTTGTATTGCGTGCGGAAATTGGTACCACATTTGGGCCGAAAATGGTAGCAATTTCCGCACGCAATACAAAAGTATACAAAATTTGCAAACTTTGCAAGACTATGTTTCCACATTTTACAACATTTCGCAACCAAACTTTGCAATTTTACTCATTTTAGTATGCTGTTTCTATAGCTGTGTTGATTTATTTGCATCTGCTTGTCTAGTTTTAGAAGTAGTCTATAATGGGAATTGTCTGTTGTAGAAGTTTTTTTTTAAATGGAAATTTTGATAAATGTACAACACTCTTCTATTCTCGCATACAACAGCCTCCAAGTACCTCAGAACGGGAAGATTTCTCAAATATTTCAGCGACTTCATGATCGACCAACTCGACATTGATGGGCGCCATTTGATTTTCCTGCTCAAGCTCCCGCATGGACAGTTTAATATCTTCAAGGACGCTCTGAGAATCACGACTTCCTGTAGCCACTACGATCACGTGAGGACGCTTCTTCAGGACAAACTGTTTCAAGTTTTCTAAATCTTCTTCCTGGAGAACGAAATAGATTCATTCAGGATTCAGAAATCCTTAGGGGCGGACCATCAGAAAAGTGATGGCGGGGGGGAGCATAAATAAAAATTGTGCAGGGGAAACAGAAAGAAAAAAATTCGTGCACCATTAAAAGTTTGAAAAAATATTCGTGCCAAGACTTTTCAATAGGGAAAATTATAAGTTGAAATAAAAAATAATTTGAGCAAGGGATTATATTTAAAAAAATTATCGACACAAGCAGAAAATATCTAGAGCTATCCAGTATAAATAAAGTTAGACTAAGTTCAGTTTAGGTTTCCTCCTTTAGTAACACTGGATCAATAAGAGATGATCCTTACAGGACATCTAGGGAAAGCTATATCCAGTATTATTATTAGCATGACAAAATTACTGGATTCTGATTGGTTGAGAGAAGTACAATTATTTTATTAATTGTATTGCAGTACAATTAATGATTTTCCCCAAACAAACAAAATGGCGGAAAGGTATTTTAAATACAAATGTGAAATGAAATTGCCGCAGAGGAACTAGATGAAAATACGAACAAAAGCACCAAATTTTTCTTTAACAAAATAACTAAATGAAAATACGAACAAAAGCACCAAATTTTGGTTGAAAGTCTTGCAGGATTGGGCTTTGGCGAGATAATATGATGTTGACATTGAGAAGTATCCAATTTTGTCATGCTAATAATAAACAAGTAATCATGCGATGTTGCTCGTACAATTAGGGATTAATAGTAGCCCCGGCGGCTCGTCCAATTTTGGCAAAATTTCCAAACATCACGAGTACTATCCCTAATTGTACTCGACATTGCATGATTACCTACTACATAAAGTTAGTTCAGTTTAGGTTTCCTCCTGTATATAACACTGGAACAATAAAAAATATCCTAACTGAACCTCTAGGAAGAACAGTTTAGAACTGATAGAGCTATCCAGCATCAATAAAGTTAGTTTAGTTTAAGTTTCCTCCTGTAGTAATACTAGATCAACAAGGGATGATCCTTACATGACCTGTAGGAAGAACAATTCAGCATAAATAAAGTTAGCTTGGTGTACACGCCTACCTTCTTTTCACGTTCTTTAGCTCGATTCGAATACCTTCTCTTCATAATAAAACTAAGCTTGAGAAAATCTCCGACCTGCCCTCCTCCGTTGAGCATGACAAAGAACACAGGTTTCTGCGGGTCTGATGGGACGGCCACTGACAGGACGCGCAGACCTTGGGGCCCAGAGAACATGTCGTATTCCTCGTCATTGTGTTGCTCTGCTTGGTAAGGTGCGACTTCGACCAAGGAATACAGACGACGACATGCACTCTAGAGAAAGACAATTGTCCGACTTTAACTTGAGGGATTCAGGGTTTGTCTCAACTTCATGAAATATTACGATCGTGGTTGCACGTTTCATCTCAGCTATCCCTATTGGATGATTACTTCATTATACGAAAATACAATGTCAGAGCTGAATCCCCGTGACCGTGCAGAAATTAACATAAACGCCGACAAAAACATAACCAGCCCTTCAGGTATCTGTTTGAAGCATAGATATCTTATATAAACTAGATAGCGCATCTCTTTCAGTAAAATTGAAGCCAAGAATATTCCAGCGGTTACCCCCATTTGAATAGATGGCGGCCATGTTGAAGTTTCCCACTCGCTAATAAACGCTTATAAAATAACAATAACTTTCATTATTAGAATAGTTTGAAAATGTATTTGGAGTAGGTTTAACTTAATGTTTAAGAAATAGAAAACATTTCATGGGGATATGCTGAGTCTGCAATCACGGCTTCAATTTTTGAATTGCAGAATAATTAGATGCACTCCATCTAGTGTATATAAGATATCTATGGTTTGAAGTCCTAGCTAATAATAATTTGGGTGTGGCCAATACTGTTTTGCTCTACTGAGACTCCGGCTATTAATTGATGAGCGAAGCGAGTGTGCAAAGAATGGAAGGTCGAAGCTTCAAGGGCGCTGTGAGTTGAGTGGTGGGCAAAGGCTTGCAAGCTTTGTCTATTTGGTATATTGTCCGAGTGCAAGACCGGGCTAAAATTTCAGTTTGTCATGACTACAAGTAGCGGCGAATTACACACAGCCTCTGACGAATGGCTGTCAAATGTCGTCTTAGCGCTGGCGACAACACAAGCCTAACACAAGATGGGTGCATAACACAATGTCTTCTGTTCAGTTTCCAGAACATCATATCTTGATAGAATTGGCCAGTCTCGCGGCATATTGTAGGACCAGTATTCAGCTAAAACACCTCACCTTAATGACAAAGTCTTTCGCTTCATGCAGTAATTTCTCCTCGAGTTCTTTCGCAAACAATGGATACAACATCTGATAGAAAGTCCGATACAACGCTTGGGTGCGCTGTGCATTCCACATCTGAACCAGATTACTGAACTCATCCTAAACACGCAGAAAGGAATGACTTGTGAATATTTTAACGTCGGAATATGATCCTAACTCAAAAGAAGCTACATATAGTAGAAGGAATATTTTAACGCAAATTTATATAGATTGTATTAGGTTTTTTGTAGGTAAAATATTTGAACGCAAATTTATATATTACATATATTACAATTTTCGAACATTCCACCAACAAAAGATCATCTCAAAAAAATCTCGATATTTACTACAAGAAGCTACATACCCTATAGTACAACTGCTTGGCTTCATCGTAATAGGAGTGGAACCTAAAATATCAAAATCGTTAAGGTTATATTCTCAAACGTATTAATAAATCATGAGAAAACATATAGAAAATGTTGTCTTAATATTATCTACAGGGTGACTCACCCTTGCCCAAGGTCAATGCCGATTTTAAGTTCAATGTAACCCTCCTCCTTCGCTTTATGTATCTGAAGAAACATGTCACCCTTTAAGTCAGCCACTGGTTTATCTTTCAGATATTTAAACGGATAATACTCGTGGTCTTTGTCAATATCCTAAAATATTCGAGAAAACAAATCAGTTTAGGTTTCCTCCTGTAGTAACACTGGATCAGTAAGAGATGATCCTTACTGGACCTCTAGGAAGAACAGTTTAGAACTGACAGAGCTATCCAGTATAAATAAAGTTAGTCTAGTTAGGATTCCTCCAGTGGTAACACTGGACCAATAAGAGAGGACTCTTACTGGACCTCCAGGGAGAACTGTTTGGAACTGATAGATCTATCCAGTATAAATAAGTAAAGTTAGTTTAGGTTTACTCCTGTTGTAACACTGGATCAATAAGTGATGACCCTTACTGGACCTCTAGGGAGAACAGTTTAGAACTGATAGAGCTATCCAGTATAAACAAAGTTAGTTTATTTAGTTTACGTTTCCTCCTGTAGTAACACTGGATCAATAAGAGATGACTCTTACCAGACCTCTAGGGAGAACAGTTTAGAACTGATAGAGCTATCCAGTATAAATAAAGTTAGTTTAGGTTTTCTCCTGTAGTAACACTGGATCAATAAGAGAAGACTCTTACCAGACCTCTAGGAAGAACAGTTTAGAACTGACAGAGCTATCCAGTATAAATAAAGTTAGCTCAGTCTTCAGTTGCAAGCACTCCATACCTTCTTTCCTTTTTTCGTCGGCGTAATATTGATCTTAGCTCTTTCGCTGAATATCTGTCTGATGCACTGTCTGACAAGTGGATCACGTGCAATCTGCATGGCTACCATGTGACGTGTGCCTTCCAGAACTGTTTCAGTCGTCGGGAACATGCTAGAGAGATGTTCCTCCGCAGCCTCGCCAGGCTCCATGGGATATTGCTCAGTCTCATGCCTCTGGTAATTATCACGTAAGTTCTCGCCAAACTGCTCTGGTGTGAGGCCAAACTTCTTAGCAAAACCACCGAGACCTAAAACACGTTGTTACGGCTCATTTACACTTTCTAGTGTGATTTTCTTCGTCTGATACATGTGAACCACAGGAGACCCAGGGCAATTGCTAGATAGTATACTTCAAAATAAGGTTTCCGTTTTTATATCAATTTTTAACCGTCCTGACCGCGTAGCTCAGTTGGCAGAGCATTGAGTACACAACACCAGCACAGAAAAAAATCATATTACTAGATTACATTGGTATCGAAGGAACTAGATTCTGTTCCGATATATCACTTACTCGAACCGTCCTGACCGCGTAGCTCAGTCGGCAGAGCATTGGACTAATATTCCAAAGGTCGTAGGTTCGATTCCCACCGTAGCCAGGCATATTTCTCAAGCTCGCCCGGTGTGGATATACACTCGGAGTAACATCACAAGCATCATATTCACCTGAGTACACAACACCAGCACAGAAGAAAAATCAATTTTTTAAATAATTAAAATAAGTTAGGGATAGGTTAGGGTTTAGGTTAGGGTTAGGATGAGGGTTAGTATTAGGGTTAGGGTTTAGTTTTGCGTTAGGATAGTTTTTTCTACGTTATAAAAACGGAAACCTTATTTTGAAGTATACTATCTAGCGATCACCGGAGACCCAGGCTCTATTTGCGCCCGCCTGGGAAGTCACAGGCGGGCGCGGGTAAATAGAGCCTGGGTCCCTGTGTGTGAACGAGTAGATAAGTTATGAATGTTCTGAGTATCATAACTAATTTCTTGTATGTTCCGTGCGGTTATGTATGTTATGATATGCCACCTGCAGTTATGACTACCTTCAAAATTTATATTTCTACGATACGTTTCTCAATCGGCAAACAAACTTAACTCAGAGATCCCAAGGATAGTGCAAAGTTCATATGGGAAATAACTTAAGACTCTTCTTTTTAACCAAGCTTACAAATAATTCTTAGTATTCGCAAATTTTTAACTACATAATCTAATATATATACTGTATTAATAAGTAATACCATTGTAATGAGCATTGAGAAATTTTTGTAAATGCGCACTGAAGAATTAAATCATTATTATTATTATTAAATGATCAGAAAGCAATGGTCTACTAATCGAGCAACTAATCCAGCACGCACCTGCTTCTCGACAGATTGTATAGAGGTCTCTTCTTTTTGGCATTTTCAATCTTTCCTCTGGTTCATCGTCTTGAGGTTCCTCGCCTTCCTCCTGTCCTTCATCTTTTGGTTTCTTCTTCTTAGCCAGTCTCATGGCGGGAATCTCATGGCCGTAATATAACATGAAGTGGGAGTAGACATCACGTAGTTCTTCCATTGTTTGCACTGCCTCTAGTCTGGAATAAAGTGATGTTATTCAACACTAGACCACCCCAAGTATGTAGTTCTTCCATTGTGTGGACTGCCTCTAGCTTGTCATTCATCCTTTTCTTGTTTTATTTCTTTTCATTCCATCTATTTTTCTTGTTTTGTCTACCTGCACTTTCTTTTCCCACTCCTTCTCATCACTCATAATCCTAAACCCCACACCCTAACCCTCCTCTCTCTCTCTCCTCCTTCCTAACTCTAATTTCTATACCCTTACCCACTTCTTTCTTTCCTCCTTCCTAACCACCATATTCTAACCCACCTCTGTCTCTTTCCTCCTCCTAATCCTAACCCCCATATGCTAACCCTCCTCTTTCTTTCCTCCCTCCGAACCTAACTCACATATCCTAACCCCTAACCCTCTTTCTTCCCTCCCTCCTAACCACCATACCATCATAACCTAACCCACCTCCCTCTCTCTTTCCTCCTCCAAATCCTAACCCCCATACCCTAACCCTCCTCTTTCTTTCCTCCCTCCTAACCTAACCCACATATCCTGACCCCTAACCCACCTCTTTCTTTCCTCCCTCCTAACCACCATACCACCATATCCTAACCCACCTCTCTCTCTCTTTCCTCCTTCTAATCCTAACCCCCCTAACCCACCTCTTTATTTCCTCCCTCCTCCTCCTAACCTCCATACCCTAACCCTCCTCTTTCGTTCCTCCTCCTAACCCTAGCCCACATATCCTAACCCTCAATCATCCTCTTTCTTTCCTCCTTTCTTGCTTCTTTCCTATCTGTCTTCCTTTCTTATTTCCTTCATCCTTTCTTATTTCATCCTTATTTTTCTTCTTTCTTCCATCCGCCCTCCCTTGATTCATAACATCCAATCTTTAATCATCCATTTCTCTCTTCTGTTCCTTTCTGCCAAATCTTCCTTACTTTTCAACATCATCCTGTTCCAAAATCCTTTCATCTTCGTCCAGAGGTTTATCCGGATCTTCCTTCAACTTGTTGTACTGGTACGTCTGCATTTGTTCAAACAACCGTTTCAAATTCTTCTTTCTCGTATTCAACTGACACCACTGCAAAAAAAAACACAACAGACCATGCATTTCTTAAACGTTCCATTGTATTAGGGAGTTTATAATTTATTTATTTTTAAATAATAACAGTAATTTTGAAAGTACACAGTAGAAATTTTGCATCGGTAAATTCTAAGTTTTGAAGGATTTCTAAGAAATGTTTGAGGGAATCGACTTAATTTAAAAACAAAGTAAGTTCCCTCAAACATTTCTTAGAAATCCTTCAAAACTTATAGAAATTCCTACTGTGATCACAGAAACTTTGATAGTTCAAACCAGGCCTAAGTATAGCTGACCTTTTCATCAAATTCCCACACTCTCCACAAATCCTCAATCTTTAGTTCAGGTTCGACATATTCTTTTCGATAATGAGCAATAAATGGCACCTGAAACGCAGAAATATACAGTCGAAACAGTTTTCCCTACAAACCCATAAGGACCATTCTTTATTGATGCAGGGTTACTACCGGTGAAACATACCTCAAAGAATTGATTCCTCATAAGATTTAGGGCCTCGCGAATTTTTGGAATTGCCGTTGGTGGCTTGGTCACAGTCGACTGTATAAACTTATCACCATCCTGAAAGTCCTAGAAAAATGGTGCAAATTAAAGTAGCTGAAAAACCGGAGGGTGAAATGAGACAACTGCATATCAGGCCTTGAAATATCGGTGGATCACCGACATTGTCCGACCCATTCGTGAAATTGCCCGACGTAGAGAGGAAACCACTGGACATTCTGTTCGACCCAAGTGAAACTGAGGTTTATTGTTTGTTCGACCCAAGTGAATTGGTGTCCGACCGAACTGTAGCTTTGTCCGACGTCAATCAAAATGTACCCTAGTCCAGAACTAGAGGCTCGTCGAGCGCGGGGGCGGCGAGCAAAGTAGTGAAATGGAAAACGGGCTTAACTGGTCGAATTCTTACAACTGTTATATTGCAGGGTTCGTAGTCTCCAAGACCAAAAAAATTCAAAGACTTTCAAATATTTTTTCTGCCTATTTTCAAAGACTTTTCAAAGACCTTTGAGAGCAATCAGGTGTCGAAAAATTGCGAGTGTAAGCACCATTTTTACCCAGTAATTAGTCCCATCAAATCACATCCTAAAATGGGCCTTTTCGTCGATATTTGCGAAAATCTTGCTTCAATCAATCTATTTTATTAGCTAGGAAATCGTATAATCAAATACTCAAAGAATTCAAAGACTTTTAAAGACTTTCTTCGCTTTTTCACACAATTTAAAGACTTTTCAAAGACCTGCATTCCAATTTAAAGACTTTCAAGGATTTCAAAGACCGCTACGAACCCTGTATTGGCAAGCAAGTTAATTTTGGCTTGGAAATAAGTATGAATGACACAAATTATTTAATATCTTCACGACATTTACCGTTAATACATTGTGCTGATATTAATTTGTGTCATTCAGACTCATTTCGGAGCCGAACTAAACTCAAAGTTATCGGACATTTTGTCAGACGGCCATGTAAAAGATATTTTAAGGCTTGCATATGGGCCCCATCCGTTACTTACTTGATTTGAGACGGGCATTGTCATGAATGCTTGTCTATATATCCATTCCGCTTCATCGTCTAACTCGCCATCCTCAGAAGGTTTGCTTGCAATCTCACGCAACTAGAGAAAGGGAGGAATATGATTTCCTTCAACAGTTCATTTTGGCGGCATTTTGCGTCATAGTGCTCTTGTAAGGAAGCCAAAAACTTTAAGAATCTTATGTTTTGTCATATGTCTTGAAAATTACCACAAACACATTTTTTAAAATCCAGTTCCCCCTCAGCAATCTGACATCCGTGTTGGCAAAAATGTCGCTTGCTTATTAGCACTCAAAATGACATATGGAATTCCTTAAAGTGCATGCACCTAACCTCAATTTTTTTATCGTTTCATTCTTAAGAACTTCTGAAATTATATAATAACTTATTTTGAAGACTTTCGTTTGCTCACTTTGTTTCTGAGATGTTTCAGTTTGTTTGGTATGCAAATATCCGGAATTTACGTAACAAATGCATAATGATTTAAAGTGAAAGCTTGTATATCTCATTCACTATCGAGTTTATCGAGTTTGGAGTTGTGCGAGGATTACACAGCTATGTAAAACACCATTTAGCCTTTTTATTTCATGATATTTAACTGTACCTTACATTCTTTGATCAGTCATTATTCATGTGACGTAAATTCCGGACATTTGCATATCAACAAAACTGAAATAACTCCAAGACAAAGTGTGCAAACGAAAATCTTCAAAATAAGTTACAACATCATTTCAAAGGTTCTTAGGAATGAGATGTTAAAATAATTAAGGTTAGGTGCACTTTAAAGTTAAAACTAAAAAAGTGCATTACCTGAAATCGTTCAGGCATATCCGTGATACGTATTTCGTTATCTCGATCTGTCAAATGGATCTTTTCCAACTCGCTTGGCTCGTAAACCTACAATGAGAAAATGTACATTCATAGAGCAACACAATGTTTGATTAAGTTCAATATTCAAAAAGCCTTGAGCAAAACAAGAAATATGACAGTACTTAAAATATTGATGAAACAGTGCCTTACATCAAAAATGGTTTTCTTCGAAGTTTTTTTCTTTGCTCGTCTCCTGGGTTGTCCTTCTTCATCACTATATTCTTCTTCGTATTCGTCTGCCTCCTCGTCTTCCGAGTAATCTTCTTGTCCAAATTTCTCAAATTCTCCATAGTCAAAATCCAGGCCAAAAATATCCTGCGCCTCTTGTAATGCTCTAGAAAGTGATCAGATCACGGCTTGCTATAACATGCATAAGTGATACGACCCATATAGCTATATAGAGAACTTCTCAAATTCTCCATAGTCAAAATCGAGGCCAAAAATATCCTGTGCCTCTTGTAATGCTCTAGAAAGTGATCAGATCATGGCTTGCTATAACATGCATAAGTGATACAACTCATATAGCTATATAGAGAACTTCTCAAATTCTCCATAGTCCAAATCCAGGCCAAAAATATCCTGTGCCTCTTGTAATGCTCTAGAAAGTGATCAGATCACGGCTTGCTATAACATGCATAAGTGATACGACTCATATAGCTATATAGAGAACTTCTCAAATTCTCCATAGTCCAAATCCAGGCCAAAAATATCCTGTGCCTCTTGTAATGCTCTAGAAAGTGATCAGATCATGGCTTGCTATAACATGCATAAGTGATACGACTCATATAGCTATATAGAGAACTTCTCAAATTCTCCATAGTCCAAATCCAGGCCAAATATATCCTGTGCCTCTTGTAATGCTCTAGAAAGTGATCAGATCACGGCTTGCTATAACATGCATAAGTGATACGACTCATATAGCTATATAGAGAACTTCTCAAATTCTCCATAGTCCAAATCCAGGCCAAAAATATCCTGTGCCTCTTGTAATGCTCTAGAAAGTGATCAGATCATGGCTTGCTATAACATGCATAAATGATACGACTCATATAGCTATATAGAGAACTTCTCAAATTCTCCATAGTCCAAATCCAGGCCAAAAATATCCTGTGCCTCTTGTAATGCTCTAGAAAGTGATCAGATCATGGCTTGCTATAACGTGCATAAGTGATACGACTCATATAGCTATATAGAGAACTTCTGAAATTCTCCATAGTCCAAATCCAGGCCAAAAATATCAGATCTACAATGGCTATATGGCTTGCTATAACCACTTGATATAATGGCTTGCTATAACCATGCATAATGGGTAGCCTTAAGGCCCAATCCACTCAAGAAAATTTTCCACAGACAGAAAATTTTCCGAAAATATCATTGTTAAGTTAAAATATGAAAATTTTCAACTTCAAAATTTTTTTTCCAACGGAAAATTTGTGTCCGCCAATCATATTTTACAAAATTTTCTTTCTGCGGAAAATTTTCCTGAGTGGAAATGGGCCTTAATTCATGTTATAACAATACCTGTCTTGGACTTTGCCGCCCTTCTTCCTTGATCGCTCACGGACAGGCTGGTTTTCATCATCAACTATAAAATCGTCTTCACCTAAAAATTGAAATAAATCATTTTTAAAAGAGGGTGTATGTGTTTAGAGGTTTTGTTGTTTTTTTTGGGTGTTCTAAAGACAGTTCATTAACCAGGGGAAAGCATTTACTCTCGATTTCAATTTGCTTTTCAAAACTGACTTCCAATGTTTACTTGTAAATTCGAAATGTTCATTGTAAAGTTCCGAAGATTGTTTCGAAGTTCGTTCCGATGATTTACGATAATCAAGTTTAGTAAGTTGTAATTGGCTAGTTAAGTGAACCAGCCAATCAAATCGCTTGCTATTGAATCATCGTAAATCATCGTAACGAACTTCGAAACAAACTTCGGAACTTTACAACGAACATTCCGAATTTACAAGTAAACATTGGAAGTCAGTTTTGAAAAGCAAATTGAAATCGAGAGTAACAGGAGGGGGGTTTAAAGTTTTTCAGTGGGGTAAAGATTTTTCAGAGAAGAAATGAAAAAAATTTCAGTATCCACACATTGATGTTGAGCATCTGTGGGGGTTTCTGGTAATTTTCTGGTGCAGGTTGTTCGAAAGCCGGTGGTTAGCATAATCCTTGGTTCGCGTTGAAACTCCACAGCAAAAGTTTGTTTATAAATCAGAAATCTTGTCTGGATCAATAAAACTTTTGTTTTTCTAAAGTTATAAATGAAATCAAGGTGCAGAAATGTGCAAATTAAAACAGCAAGTTAAAGTTTAACCCAGGGTTAGCGCTAATTCTCCCTTGAACAACCGGCCTCTGTACCGCTGCCTAATGATGTGTTCAATACCTTCTGATTCAGAATCATCTAACACAGCGTACTGATCTTCCACAGGTTCAACAGGAGTTACAGATACAGCTCTCTGGAAAAGAACATGAAGGCATATTCACAAGTCTTGAAACACAAGGAGGAAAAGTGATTTGCCTGACATACAGTTTACAGGGTCTGAAATTTAATTTTTTTCTCGGTATCCAACTGGGATACAATGATTCAAAGTTTAGTATCCCCCCTAAGCATCCAGTATCCCACAGACTGATTTCAGACATACATTGACAACACTTGCATATATGACCTAACAACATCACTGGCAAATAACATTCATATAATAGAGCAAAGGCCTGAAATCATCCTGACAAATCACAATGTGTTAACAAATCTTAAGACATACTGGGGGTTGTTCCATATCGTCATCTTCAAACAGTTCATGAGCTAATGCTTCTCGTTCATCAGCACTGTGTCCACCAACAGACGCACGATCGTCGTCTTCTTCATCCGAGTCAATCGGCTTCAATTTCTTTAAACGTTTGTATCTTTTCTGTTCAGAATAAACAAAAAGTGGGTTAGGAAACCAACGCAAAACAACAAGAAACGTTTAGAGCTTGGAATCCTTAACCCATTGAGTGGCAGCACTCTCCACTTGACAAGTAAAATCATCTGGCGTTAGACAGATTAAAATACTAAAGCAGGGTACATTGCCACTTAAAGGGTTAAACATGGGGTATGACTTACTCTATCTAAATTGATACCAAGGTTCTCCTCAATCAAATCAAGATCTTCCTCATCAACTGCATCATCAAAATCTGAAACAAAATAATTACTAGAATAAGACAACTTTGTACACAAAAGACCATTAAGGCAAGACTTTTTTTATTCATTGGTTTATGGATCCGCCGACCGTAAATATTCAGAAAGTGAAAAATAAAAAAAACTAGGATGTCAACAATTTTTACGACTTTAGTTAATTTTAGTTAATTTGGGGTTCTGACATGAAGTACACTCCAAGTAAACCTTGATTCTAAGTACTGCTGGCTCATGTTGTTGTTGAGACCTCGGGATTAGCCATGTTTTTCCAAGTAGAAGTTAAATTTTTAGAAGATAAAAACATTGATTTTAAATATACTCAGTGTTTTTTTAAAAAATTTGTCCAACCTACCGACCTGGTTTTTTTAAGTCAAATCTGTAAACCAATAAATAAAAAAAGTCTTGCCTAAGTTGCGTATCGCGAGGGAATCGACTGCCTGACAAATACAGGTAAAACTTTGACGTTTCGAGCGAAGGCCCTTTATCGGGAAACTAGTAGCCAAACTGCCCACATAGTAGCCTAACTTCCATGAAGGTGTGTTTGAATCCCTCTCACACAGCAGATTTCTGGTGCTATTATCACTACCTATGCTAGCACAGACCAGATCAAGGCTTCAAATTTGAATTTTTCAGCAGTATCCAATGGGATACTGGCAACTTAAAATCTGGTATCCATCCAGAAAATCTAGTATCCCACATTTGCAAAACATCTTTTCGTTAATTCATTAACAAAACGTCTTTTTTCAACGGGTCATTCCAGAAAAGATCCATACTCCCCCCACGGAGGAAATTTCTGCCGTCCGTAGGGGAGGGGAGAAAAAATTGTTTCTGATGATAGTAAATGTATTAGGACATCCGAAGGGGGTAGGGGGGTTAAATTTCCTCCGTGGGGGTGGTATGGATGTTTTCTGGAATGACCCAACTTGTTCATCAGTTAATATTTGCTGTGTCTCAGTGGATTTTTTTGTTCGCTCAGTTTGTATTATGTTTTGCCAACATATTTTGAAAATGAGTGAGTGAAGACAAACTATTTCAATTAACAGCGTGGCATGAAACGCTTGTGTTAGTATGTAACAGAGATCATACAGAAGTCCAACATCTTGGTTTTGCCTATGATTTTGGTGTAACTGTTGCAATGCTGTCGGCATGTTCCTAGCCAGTGCGCATATGAGAGGCATCCACCCCCTGAAAATACTCAAAATGGCAGATGTTCAGGGGGGTGAATGCCTCTCATACGCACACTGGCTAGGAACATGACAAGTGCATTTTGACGACGAATCGTTACAAATCATGCCATCAAACAGTTGCTGTACTCCATACAGTAAACTGAAAAATACCCAGACTTGCCAACCCTGGATCACATGTGTCAGAAATACTGGTTAACAGTATTAATTTTTAAAATGAAACAACCTGCCTTATACAGTCATAGCATGTAACTGTATAGATCTGCCTCATTCTTTAAAAAACCTTTTTATTTCAACTGTGGGATAGTCTAATTTTATTAATGTTGTCCTGGATAAAAAAAATCAGGATTTATTAAACAACGAGGCAGCAATGTCAGCACTAATAAAACTATAAATCTATCCTCTCAAAACAGCGTTAGAAGACACATTTATCGTTTAATAAAGCAAGAAAACTGAAAGACCAACCTTTTCTTTTCCTACTCCGCGAGCTTTCACCTTCATCTTCGTCATCGTCGTCCTCTCCGCCTTCGCTTTCCTCGTCGTTTATAATATCATTTGCATCGTCAATGGCGGTCGTTTCTTCTTCTTCTCGAGCTATTTCTTCGTCTTCCTCTACATCTTCCTCGCTTCCACTGGCTATATCCTCGCCAGATTCTTCTGCCTCACTGTCAAATAAACCTGACATGCTTTGGACGGGGTATTAGGGGCAAAATTGAAAGAAATTTGAAGCTAAAACAAGATCTTTTTTCAAATTTCAACACAGCTTTGTTAAACACGCGGTTTGTAAATCATGAGGGACTGGGCTACATTTTAGATTCTACCGTCATTTGCATCCACGCATGGGCACTCGCATATTATGAAAACATGTCTCAGTGTTCGAGTTACAAATTACAATACGCCACGGAATAGAAATAAAATTTTAATGTTTGAAACGAGCATTCAGTTTCGACATGATTAAATTAACTGAGGCAATCAGAGCGAGGATGGTTTGACGCGTAACTGGCTGTTTAGATTAAAATTTGTCAAATGTTCTAACCGACTAAATGTACGTTCAAGTGTGAACATGAAGGCAATGTTTTTATCTGCGATTGTTTATCCTTAGCGTACACGCATAAAGATCTCACATATTGTAGCAAGTCTTGGCACAAGCCGTCAACAAGTTCTCAGGTACATTAATGCCTGGGTCGCAGTTTGTGTATTTAGCGAAAATAAACAAAAAATCATAAAAAAGTAAGTATGGCCTTTATTATTACCATTCAAGTTTTATATGATTTATCAAAGGAGATTCTAAAAGTTGACCTACTTTTCGTTGTCATGGCAACGATCACGTGATGTATATTTCGAAAAACAAGTCAAAAAATGATACTTTTTATTCAGAGGCTCTGCAGCAGTATATTTCGTGACTGAGAGGACGCAGAATTGCGATAATCATTCACACATAATATCACTGTTTATTGAATAAATTCGGAAAGTTTACATTTAGGCTTCGTTTCATTATTTTATGCGGCTATATTACGATGATCGGCATCAAACGAATGTTAATCGCGTCATTAAATGTTATCTACAAATAAATGTACGGTTTCCAAATTAACGCAGGAAACTTTGTTCCCTTGTTAATGTTTTTAGCTAACAAACATAGCAAAATTTCGTCAAATTACCCTGCTGCAAGTCGAACGCGTTTTTCGCGTGATGAATTTCACGCGCCATAATGAAACAGTCTGCCGTTTATTGTAAGGGATATTATATTTCCAATAACAACATTCATTGCGCATTCAAGCCGATATCTTGAAGCATAGTTAATGCTTGAAGGGAAGTATGCCATGGTGGAAAAGACCGAGTGAACTATATGTGCTATTAATTTGTAATTCACAAGCTATTTTTCATTGAAAATAAGAAACAGTCAACAATTAATACTGAATAATCGCAAGATAGCGCACTATAAGAAGCTTTTAATTATCAGCAGTTCAAAGGTCAGCTGTCGCAAATGATACAATACTTATTGCTATACAAAGAGCCAATTATTACATCAAAACTGAATAGTATACCGACTTCTTTGCATTGTATATTCCAAAATAATCCTGTCGCTCATATATACTATATTTTGATTTGAAGCAAACGCCCGAATTCACTAAAATACTCACACAAGGGGCGAATATTCTAACAGACGCATTACTGACAGATCGCGCGTGCAACACGCGCGCAAGATATCATCCAAGCGTGGGCAGACCCAGGCATTAATATGCCTGAGTTGTGTTCGCACTGCTTGTCCCAAGTTGAGAACAAGTTTGGAACAAGCTGTTAACAACTTGTGACAACCTTGTCGATATTATCAGACTTGATGCAAGGTTGTTCAAACAAGTCCGATACAGTCATGATATAACAATATTGTTACAGCCTTGTGTTGTTAACCTTGTAACATTCTTGTTAGATCACGACTGTTAGAGCAACCTTGTAACAAGTCTGATAATGGCATCAAGCTTGTTAAAAGTTGTTAACATCTTGTTCCAACAACTGGGAACAAGCAGTGCGAACACAACTTGTCGACAGCTTGTGAACAAAGATTTGTAACAACTTATTTGCAGACTTGTAACAACTTGTGCAATTTTACGTGTGTCTATACGTAAAACCACGCAAGTTGTTGCAGATCTCCAAACAAGTTGTAACAAAGTTGTTACCAAGCCGATATCAAGATGTGTTCGTACTGCTTATCCCCAGTTGTTGTCCCCACGAGTTGTTATCACCTTGTTACAAGGTGGACGACGGCAACGGACTTGCTTCAAGTTGTTTCAACAAGACTGTTCGTAACAAGTTGCTACGACTAGCTTGTTGTTAACAACTTGTTACGTGCAGACGGTATCAGACTTGTTGAAACGAATTGACCATTTGCGTAATAGACTAAATTTTGAACTAAACAAGTCTAGACAAAAATTTCATCACAGCTTGAAGGAGCATCACAAAATTAGTAATATTCCAAAGTTTCGTTGCAAAATGTTGTAAAATGCGGAAAATATAGCCTTGCGAAATTTGCAATTTTCA